CAGTTCAACAGTGTCTTGTAGATAACCTTTGGAACAGTCATAATCACCCAGCTAAACGTCTGTCAGCCTTAAACTCTCTTAGTATATATTTTTCAAAAATCCAGAATAAACCCTTGTCTAAAAGTTTTTCTTTTTATGTAGTAACTAAAAGAACCAATCCTGGTATTTACCATGATTGGATAGAAGTCGAACCCTTAGTTAAAAATTTTCTCACACCTCAGTATAAAGGATTTTATGATTTTGAGTCAGCTAGTACATATGTCTGAAGACAAATACGAACCAGTTACTTTATCAGCCAGATAGCTAAAGATTACCTGGACACATTGGGCAAGATGCAGTCAACCATTCTTGCTACTAGTGGAGTTCCAATTAGCCAGACAATTGGAAGTAATAGTACTAGAAGTAGTAGCAATAATCCTCAGATAGATTCTCAAAATCCTCTCCAAATGTGTAGACATTGTGAAGGCCTTACTAGAAATTTCAAGAAAATTATGGATAAAGGCAAAAAGGTCAGTAAAGAGCTAGAACAGCTCCGAGACGAAGAAAAACAATTGAGAGAAACCATTCGAACCCTAACCAACCAGCTTAAAAAATTAGCTCCAGGAAAAGCAACCGCCTCCTTTCCAAACCTAGAAATCAGACAACTCACCAGTGAGGAATTTGAACAATTGAGTGCTAGAATGTATTTCTTCAGGCATTCTATCATTCGATCTTTTTGTGAGAAAAGCCAAGAAATAGAGGACCTTAAACCCTATATATACACCTTAGCCGAAGATAGCAGAAATAGCTAGTTAGTCACTATACAGCAATTTCTTCAAGACCTCTTCATAGTAGGAGTTCAATGCCCTCGTATAGCTTATCAATGGACTTATCTCTACGAAGATAAAGAGCAGCCCTGCTTAGAAGAGGAAAGATGTATGGACAGGCCGGAATGTTTTTTTCGATGTCAGTGTAATCTAGATTTCAGTATCTGTCTTTGCCAGATAAATCTAGCAACCTTCGAACCATTGGAGATAGAGATTAGGGGCAAAACGCATTATCTAACAGCCTCACAATTGTTAGATTATGGGTTTGTCTCTAGAATAATTTTCTCAGATCCAGATCAGACAGATAGTTTTGGAAATAAACTTGCTCATGCAGTGCTCTGTGTAATGGAAGAACATCATCCCTATGTAGAAGCATTAATTGATAGCAATCTACCAGAGTGGAAAGGAATAAGGTGCATCCCAGCTAAGCCTAAAATGTACCTTAGAGGAACCTCAACATTTCCAGGGTACCCAGGACTTCTCAATCGAAGACCCTGGCCATGCAAAAAAATTTCACTCAGAGATCAGCTCAATAAATGGAGAAAATTTACTAATAATCCTCTATTAACGTATAACGGAAATTATGGACATCTAGTTTGCGAAGATAAAAATCAGAAGATATACTGTAACCTAGCTATCCCAGGTTATCCTTTCAGCAAAGAAACATTCGTCAATGAAAGCCAATATCCCAACTATCAGCATAGCGTCTCTCATGAGTCACCACTAATGGGAGAAGATGACCAAGATAACCAATGGGGAAATGAAGCAACCATGGGTGATGACTTCTACGACCAACTTTCAACAGCAGACCTTAACGATCTCTCAGATAGAATGTACGGGTGAAAAAAATAATAATAATAATAATATTATAAATTATTGTAATACTCTTGTTATTTTTTATATAATTTTTTATTTAAAATTAAAAAATTATTAAAATAATTAATTTTCAAACGAGACTTAAGAATTGTTTGGGCTTTTATAATGTTTTTGACAACAAATAATCCATTTCTTTCTTCCCACTAGGGTTGAATAGCGGATATACCGATCCATTTAAACTGACTGAATCGAACTGATTCGTCGCATTTTGAACGAATGCGTGATGACAAGCAGACAGTTGCAGATTGATTTTTTCTAATCCGCCTAGTTTTGGACGGATGGTGGATTTGAGATTCATTTGGCCACAACCGAACCACCAAACCGCGAGCATCCCTAGTAATTTGTAAGACTTTGTATTTTCAATTCATTTAGATATTCTGTTTATGTTTTCAATTGAAGAAGAGTTTAAATATTCTGTTGAAAAAAAAGTTTTCAACTTGAACATATTTTTGAATTGAAAAAAATAAATGTATTATTTATCTATATTTTTTTATTTTTAAATCTAACTCTAAAAATAATAAATAAAAAAAGATGATATATGCTGATTGGTTTTTATTTTCAAAAATAGATATAGATGTAACAATACAAAGGCATACAATCTCTACTACTACTATGTTCATAGTTTTGGTGGTTTGAATTGTTTTTATATTTTAAGAACCATAAATTGTAATATTTTATGTGGATGAGACATGTTATGATTTTAATATATGGATAAGGCATGCAGTGATTGTAATATTCTAAAGTTTCAAACTTTCTTTCTTTAGATGAGGCATGTAGTGATTGTAATATTTTTTTAAATCATTGACTGTAACACTTTTTTTTTAAAAAAAAAATGCACAAGTTGAATTATGTTAAAAATTTATAAAATTTTAAACCGCCAAACCAATTCGTATTCATCCGCCAATCCGCTCAATTCACATCCACCGAATTAGCGGACAGATGCAGATTGATTTTCTTCAATCCGCCATTATAATAAACGGATGACAAATTAAAGATTCCGTGACCGCAATCGACCCGCGTTCACCCCTACTTCACACCACACTACTTTAGTGGCCGGAAGAGGACTGAATTGTTCAGCTCGGTTTGTAAGGGGTTTGATTTTTATTTTTTTATTTTTTAATTTAATATTAGTGCTTATATCATTTATAAAATTTATCTAATAATTATAGGGACACAGTTTTATTGTTGCTTTCTTCAACAAAAAAAAAAATGAACAATCATTTTTTAAATAATCTTGTCGTCTATAATTGATTGAAGAAAGTAGTTTGTTTCGGTCCATCTTAATATACTCGATTTTCTAAAAATTGAATTACCTCTTGCTCCTATGATTCGATTTCTTTATTTTGTATGCTTTTATGTTGATTATTTATGAAATTAAATTTATTTTTTAATTATAGTTATATTATTTTATTATAATTATTTTTAAAAAAATAAGATATTCTATTTTTAAAATCATACTAATCATTTTATTTTTTAAAGAAAAATATAATAAAATAATATAAATATCGTGTACATTTACATTGGAGGTGGAATATGATAAAATTCATTTGATGATATGTAACATCTCTTATATTAATAATGTTACCATAATTAACAAATTTGAATATCATCGGATACTAGTTTAATGAGCTCTATTTTACTGCTTGCAATTTTAATTTATGTTATTTATTTTGGGGAATTTTTTTTAGGATTCCTGATATTAAGATTTATAGCATAAAGAACATTTAATATTTTCATAATGTCTGAGGTCCCTCAATTTGATCTAGAGAAATTTCATCCAGAGAAATTCTGGACCAGAGAAATTCTATCCAACCCAGAGAAATTCTCTATTTCTCTCTAGAGAAATTTTCAAATTATGTAAAGAACTAACAGCTATGTTTTTTAACTCAAAAAAAAAAGGAGGGGGGGCAAAACAACAACAACACCACTACCAGCATTGATGCAAAGAGAAATGTGCACACCAGACAAATCATACACAAAATTATTGCACGGAGTACAACCAAGAAACAAAATTTCTCTGGACTTTCAAATTTCTCTGACCCACTCTCCAGAGAATTTCTTCTCTCCAGAGAAATTTCTCTTCTCTCCAAAGAAAATTGAAATTTCTCTGAACATAATTGTTTACTTTTGTAGAATCCTTTCTCTGTGAAATCAGAGAAAATTCAAATCATTTACTAGAAAAAATTCAAAATCTTGTACTAGAGAAAATTGAGGAGGAAGAAGAAAAACTGGAGGGGCCAACAAAATCGGGCTGGAGGTGGAGGCGGGAGCGGGGGGCTGCGAGGCGGAGGCGGTGGCAGGGTTGCGACAAGGCGACGGCGGGCGACGATTGGGCTGAGGCGACGGCAGGCGGAGGGCTGTCATAGCTGCCATCTCCTCCTCTTCCCCTCTCTTCTCTTTCTCTCTCTCTTTCTCTCTCTTCTAAATTTCGGGCTGTTCGGGGGGACAAATTTGCGGGGAAAAATAATTTTTCTTATCAAAAATGGGAGAGGACCTTCACTAATTTTTCCTTTATTTTATTAATATTAAAAAGCCTACTTGGTATCATCTTCATTTTTTATTTTTAAAAATACAAAAGAATTGTTTGATTAAATATTTATTAAAAAAAAACTTGTATGGAGTGAAATTTTTATTTAACACAATTTTCATACAAAAACGGGAAAAAAAAAAATGGGCCTTTTCAAACTATTTATTGTTTGTTTAAAAAAATACAAAAAAAAATGAAAATGAAAAGTCGAACACTTTTTAATATTTGGTATGAATCAAAACCGAGGATGACAAGCCCCTCATTCAAATTCAATAACAGATGAAAAAAAAAAATCACTTGAGACCCAACAATATTTCTGAAATTAATTTTTGAAAACAAGTTGTCAAACAAACTTTTTTGTGGCAATTTTTGTTTTTCTCTTTACAACAGTTAAAAAACAATAAAGGAAAACCATACCAAATGACACTCTTGAATCTGAGAATCTTCAGCCCAATGGAAACAGTGCCACACATCAATTTTTAGTTTTAGAAAAATCCAAACAAACACCATATTAGTTTTGGACAAACTTGCTTTCAATTATTTATCCTTACCCAGTTGTTCAAATGATGTTTTGTCAAACACCTTCCATTGTGTTACTAAGTTACTATTAACATGTTCAAATGATATCATCTGATACTATTTTTTAGGAGAACCACAAAAGTATGTTTATAGCATCTTGTGAATCGGGGGGAAAAAATGACAGACCAAAGTAAAAGAATCAGAAAAACACCCAGTAAATTTTTTATTTACTATTATTATTATTTTAAATAAAAACACAAAGTACTTACCCGTGCCCTTTCAATCAAAAACCATTCAAACTAATTTGGAACATAAGTAGCAATATGCTATTACAAGCATTGGTTATTGCAATTGTTACAAAAAGATTATCCAAATGATCCAAAACATATATTTCCCTATACACAACACTAAAGAATTTCTATGACAATATTGCCTTTACCTATACAACATTTCATCAAGATACATAGAGATGAGTAATAGACCGACCCCAAGGAGGGGTCTTAATCGTTATGTAGATCTGAAAGTGAAAAGTGTATAACCAGAGATGAGAGAGCTGGAGGCCAAGGCCACAAATGCGACAAATGACACTCCCACAGATGCACTTGCCATCGCCGGGAACTTGTCATTCCCCCAGTTAGATATCCAGTCATCAACTCGGGTGGCAGCTGATGATGATGCCGACATCAGCAGATAAGTCAAAATCTGCCATTTCAAACAACAAAACAAAAGCCCCAGCATTCAACTAAGTATACCAGAAAAGTTATTGAAAATCAAATAGAGCCATTGGGTATGTAGAGGGGTCCATCCTAAACAGTTGAATGGAGGCACAGTGGGAAGAGATCAACCCATATAGGCTAAGGAAGAAGGGTGAACAAAAACGAAAAGAACAAAACACTACTTGAAGAACCCATCAGGATCCTTTAGGGTTTAACCTTCAAAAGGTCTTCATTAATTTGTGTGCACATTAGCACCAAGTAACTGGTCAAAGCACTCTTATCACTCATTGTTTTCGTGCATTTTGTTCCAACACTGCTCTGCAAGCAACAATTTCTAGTTCATGCTGTAACATTTTGTGCTGAGGGGGAAAATCTACTAACTACCACCCAAAGAGGAAGGGAATGGAGATAAAGAACTAAAAAAAACAAAAAACAATTATGCTTTCAAAGAAAATTAAGGGGAAAAACAATTTTACTGTAAACATGAAGGACCTCTGCATAAGGATATGTTTGAATCATGGATTTGTGGAGGAATTTGTGAAGGTAAAAGAAAAGATTAGAAGAAAATGAAATGAAAGAAGTATATACTAATTATAAAAAGATCCAAACACGGCATAAGTATACTAGCATGAACTCTGGAAAATCACAAGGTTGACTTAAGATGAACAGGACTTCCACAATGCTAAAGGGCATTGGGGGTTTAGTATTTGATCATATTAGACAATTGAGCCTTGAGAGGAGTGTGAGGGGAAATCCCCTATAGGCTAAGAATGCAGGTAATCACGGGAATAAAAAGGAAACAGAAAGAAAGAAAATGAGTACTTGAATATTGTATCTATAATATCTATATAAGATCTTAAAATAATTGCGGATAACACTAAGCTGATAAATTTTGAAGTGTCTTCTTTTGCTCCAAAAAGTGTTCATTTATGTCTCTGACAAATCAACCAACTGGTTTTAGCACTTGTATCTCACCTTTTCATTCCTTTGATTTCTATTGTTTTTTTTCACAAACAACATTATGTTATATGTTGTAACATCTATATAAAAAGGAAAATGCAGTTTACAACAATATATTAAAACAATTATTATTATAGCTTGAATAGCTTGTTGGTGGGATAATACTACACAAGCATGCTCTTAAATCCCAGAGAACCACAGGCAATTCTCACCAAAGATTGATTAAAAAGAAGAAGAAAAAAACACTGCAAAAGATCTATTTGTACAATTGCCATATGATGTAACTTGCAGAATGGAATGACATGTATTTTTATACCAAGAAGATCTTGATCTTGAAGCTAATATTAAGCTGTTCTTCATTGTGTCAAACCTTTTGGTAATATATTTTTATTCCACTTAGGCATAGATGTTACAACAAGCACGCATTGTTTTGGTTGTACGATAATGCAGGAACACAAATTAATGAAAGCAAAAAATTATACCTTATTAAAAATACACACATCTATATATGTGTGCATATATATATACATATATATTGTGATTTTCATCTCTGTAAATGTAAATACATATACCTTTTAGGTTTGCTTTGCAAAATATGTACTGGTAAACCAAACAGCTATAAACACGGGACATCTAAACAGTCATTGTGGGGACTTGTTATTTGCGCTATGTTCATGAGCACAGCTAGAATTTGTGTACAATGGAGGCAAACCATATATGAATTTTTTCTGATTTAAGAATTAAAAGAAACAAATTTCAAATGGGAAAAATATAAGACCTTGTTGAAGGGAAAAATTAAAAAATAAATAAATAAACAATAGGTAAAATTCCAAAACTGTAGTGGGAGCAAATTACAAATTTTTAAAAGCATTTTACTTGTAACTTTGGAAAAAGTTTGAAAACCATGTAAAAGAAATAGGTTTAATTAGATCAAGATCTCATCAACTATTATCAAATATCACTTTATTTTTCATCTATGAAAACCTACACATTTTTATCCCTTCAATTACAAAAATATATCACTTTCACCAACTGGCATCCCAAGTGGGGGCGATAGTGTGGAAAGCAAGGGAGACTAGGGGTTGTGAGGGAGTTGAAGAGGGAGGGACAGAAAATAAAAGAGAGAGAAGGGAAGAGAGAGAGAGAGGCAATTTTTTTCTTAAAATTAAAGATTCCATGAGTTCATAAATATTTTGTAAATTTTAACTTCCATTGTAATTACAATTGATTCCCTATTAAAAAGTTCAAAATTTGTGAATTTTTGTCTAAAAAAAATTACTAAATACAACACACAAAAAAAAGGTAAATTACAAATACACCTCATGAGATTTTATTAAAATACGAATCGCCCCTGTGATTTTGAAAATTACATTCTATCCCCTGAGATTTCTAATTTCATAACAAATTGTTCCTTTTATTAATAAATCATCAAGTCAATTAATAGTTTTTAATATTGTTAAAAATATGTTTCAATTAATAATTTAGATAATTTTATTATTGTATAGAAAAGCAATAATGAATTTTATTTTTTTAGTTAATTCTGCTACATAAAAAATTCTAATAAGGGGGTATTTGTAATTTTTCAAACCACATGGACTAATTTGTATTTTAAGTAAATCTCAAGGGGTGTATTTATAATTTATCAAAAAAAAAGAGTGCATTTTAGTATTTATTGAATTTTTTTTAGATTTCTTCACACTATTTCATTTTTTAAATATATTTCAATTAGGTAAATTTTTAAAAATATAATTAAAAAATATTGATTAAAATATTAAAAATTTTACTAAAAATAACAAAATACGAAAAACAAAAATTTTAAAAACCAAAACCAAACAAAGTGAGGTTTTAGACTAATTATATATTGTGTTTTGTTTACACTTAACAAATAAATAAATAAATGTATGAACAAATTTATATCCAGCCCACTTGGTGTTTAAAAAGATAAAGGGGAAATTGTAAATTAGTTAAAAGATTTAAAAAAAGTGCAAAATCATTCAATTACTAGGCAAAGATAAATCCAACTCCAGACCGGCCCCCTGCGGCACAATTGGGTATTTTGTACAACGCACCGCCAATCCAACGCGGCTGCTATGGACCACCATCATTATCAGGTAGCGTGGGTGATGAGATGAGAGAATATAAACATCATCACCCAAAAAGTGTATGGTCCACCCACCATTCATTATAAAGTCATGACAACATTCCCATAGAGACATACCCAAATCGAAGGAGTGATTAACATAGTAAGGATCCTCTCTGGATCCTTTCCTTGGCTTCTTACTTGGTGGCTTGTTCAATCTACTTTTGAATCTATTTTTGAATTTAATTTTGATAATTTAAATTGTTCATATTTTATGATTTATCATATATATTATACCTATAAAAAATCAAATCGATCAGATATTGAAAACCATGTAAACTAAAAGTTTTATTTAAAAATAAAATTGTTTATTAAATTTTTTTTAATAAAAAATTTTTAGTTCTTCTGATATCCGATCAACTTGATTTTTTACAAATTTGATATACATAACAAATCTTAAAATATAAACGGTTTAGATCATCGAAATTAGACCCAAAAGTGGACTCAATGGCCTACCAAATAAAGAGTCAATGAGAGGATCCAAAGAGAGGATCCTTACTCAAAACAACTATGCCAGTAAAATATTGGGAGATTTTATCAAAATTCCCTCATAAAAAAAATTTAATATATTAAGGACAAGTATAAAGAATTTTTTTTGAAAAGTCTAATAAATATCACTATTATCAATATATTAAACTTTAAAATAATATAATTTTTAATATAGATGTCAATTTTTAATAAAATCAATATTTTTTAAATTTTTTTATCAAGATCTATCAAATAAGATTTATATTGATTATGAAATTTTTTTTGAAAAAAAAATTATTACCGTTGAAATTGATAGAAATAGTAATAGTAACATGTATTACTCTGTTTGACAGTAACATATTACTTTATCTCACAATAACATATTACTCTATTTGACAATTACTCTATTTGACAGTAACATGTTACTATGTCCCACAGTAACATGTTATTCTATTTGATAATAACATGTTATTTTAATAATATTATATTATCCAAAAAAGAAAATATATATATATATATATATTATTTTGTTTTTAATCAATTATATTTTTTTTTCTTAGAAAGTTTGTGAAAAAAAAAAAATTAAACTGTCTTTTTTACCAAACAAGGGACCAACTAAAGGGTTTGGACTATATTTCCCTAAAGGAAAATGTTTGAAGGCCACAATTTTTGTGGCCATAATGACTCAAAACTGTCAAAACGATGTCGTTTTGGGTGTAAAACATGCCAAAACGACATTATTTTGACAATTTTGAGTCATTGTGACCACAAAAATTATGGCCCTCTAGCATTGTTGTTCCCTAAAATGTACAAACCATGGGCTCCAATTGTGTAATACTAGCATGAACCTTGTTGGTCAAGCTGGAGGAAAATCATTTTGTTGGTTGATTAAAATAGCGAAATGGACCCCATTTAGAGAAATTCCACAACTTTAATCAATTAAAATAAATTAAAATAAGTATTCCTTCGTTTTTTGGCAAGAAATTATTTACAGAATACAACTACAAATCTAACTTTTATATAGTGCTCTCAATTAATGATAGAAGAAATGATAAATATAATTTTAGTTAGTTTTAAAAAATTAGCAACATTAACAATTTTTAGTTAGTTTTAAATGATAAATATAATTTTAGTTAGTTTTAAAAAATTAGCAACATTAACAATTTTTTTTCACTAAAATGATATATTCCCTCACTGATTAGAAGTAAGTCAACGAATTTAAACCCCAAAAAAAAAGACTTGCCTGATCCATGAGGAAATCGAAGTAATAGCGAAGGTGGTGCCGGACGACATAGTTGCCAGTAGAAAAATGGAAAGCCAGATCGCACGCCTGCACAGCTGAATACATGAAGCCCACCACATTCACCGATATACAGTACCTATATATATGTATGTATATGTATATCATCATCAATGGTTACATCATGTACTGATCATGAATAGACAGTACAGATACTGTATGTATGATTGACTCACCTGAACTCTTTGTATCGGTAGAAGGAATCGAGAGCCCAACCTTTATTCTTGTCTGAGGCCATCACTACGAACGAAATCAAGCAGAAAACTAATCCCCAGATTCTTAACCCTAACGCAGCTTTCTTCACCATCTTCTCTCTCTTCACTCTCCTCAGAATCGACAGCGGCCTCCTCGTTCGCCGCTCGCTTCCTCCTCCTTCCACATCTCCTATTCCCGGACCCGGATCCAACTTCGTCACCTCCACCGGCTCCTCCCTCACAAATCTGTTCACCACCGGCTGCGGCGACGGAGATTTCACGTTTTCCGGTGGGTTTTCCCTAGGGGAGGATCCATGGCTGAGAGACGTCCGATGACTTAGATCCGACGATACCGATGATTCGGCCGGCGATCGAGCCGACGGCAACGATGGTTTGGGGTCCCGAGGAGGACTGGGACTGGGAGATTGAGCGGGTGATGAATCGGCGATGGCATGGGCGGTTGTGGGTTCTTCTTCTGAGATGGTTTTGTTCTCTTGGTTTTCCATTTTCTTTTCCATTGCTGGACTACTGTAGGAGAGACTTGTTTGAGGGATGAAGAATGGGCGGTGATAATTGAGATTGACAACGATGGTTTTGGCAGTTATTTCTTGGTATCGGAAAACAATGAGAAGAAACAGAGTGCGTCAGTGTCATTTTGACTCTCTCGACGAATAGCTTGTCAACACTTGTCATGTCTTTTTCTTTTTTTAATTTTGGTAAGGAATTTGAAATTCTTTTTATTGCTGAAAAAAAAAATTAATTAATGATAAATTTTATAATTCTAATTATTAATATAAATTTTTTCATGTATTATTAATAATTATTTTTTGAAAGCAGGACTTATTTGTATTTTTTCTTAAAAATTTTCATTCTTAATAGGGTGTATTACATTTACCTCTCTTGAGATTTCTGACAAATACGGGGACATCTCCTATGATTTGAATAATTACAGTAACTTTTCATACTTTACCTGATAATGTCAAGATTCTTCCAAAATTTGACCTCCGTTTATACATCTAACCCACCCTATTGATGCCATCAAATGTAAACACTAAAATGCCTATAATGCCCTCAAGTGCCCAACTCAAGAAAATCTCAAACTATTGTTCTGTTGTAAAGAGGAAACTATCGAGGGATCCATTTAATAAAATATTTAAAATAAAAACTATATATTTAAAATAAAAAAATAAAAAAAATTTAATATTTAAAAAAAATATTTAACATAAGTTTGTATTTTTTTTAAATTTGTGTTTGGTTATGGGGTTTGAAAATAATTTTTGAATTGAATTTTGAGTTGCATATTTGGTTAAGACTCTGAGTTTTGAAAAGATTTTTAAAAATTTCAAATTGGAATTGTGATTTTAAAAGAAAACCAAACATGTTTCTAAAAAAAATATTTTTTTGAAACATGTTTTACTCAAAACTCAATTCAAAAATTATTTTAAAAATCTCATAACCAAACACAAACTTAAAATTCAAGAGAAATGTTTTATAGCTCGAAAAAAATTTCACCGAATGGCCCGAATTTATAAAACAACATCGTTTTGATTTTGAATTTTTTTTTTCTTCTTTTTTACCTTCCACTTCTCGTTTCTCTCTCAAAGTTTGAACCATTTCTCGCTACTCACTCTCTCCTCAGAAAGAGAGAGAGAGATGGAGAAAGAGAGAGGATGGGGGAAGACAGACGGAAATAGAGAGAGAGGCGACGGTAATGACGGGGTGGTGCGACGGTGATGGAGGGTGCGACGGTGGACGGTGATGGAGGTTCAGACTCTGTTTTCTCTCTCTTTTTTTCTTTTTTTTTTCTGGCTCTGAAGATGAAGATGATGGGTTGATGATGGTGATGTTGATAAAGATGTTGTTGTTGTTGATGATCCAAATCTGTGGGTGATCAGATCTGTTGTTGTTGTTGTTGTTGATTGGGTTGATTTTTGGATGAGTGGGTTTGATTTTGATTTTGTGTTCAATTCTGTGGGTGATCAGATTTTGGGTTTGATTTTGTTGTTGATTGAGTTTGCCTTTTTTTTTTTTTTTTGGCTCTGATATGTGGGTGATCAGACTCTTCTTCTTCTTCTTCTTCTTCAGGCAAAAGAGAAGAAAAAAAAAAAAAAAATTCCCTTTCAACCCTTAAACTAGAGCTCTTTCAAAGACAACAGAAGTCATTAATATCAATGAGGAAAGCATATCCCTGAAGTGGCATGTAACAAAGCCCTAGCAAGTGATTCTTTTACCTTATGACATTAATGAATGAGAGTGACAACAAACAAAGACATTGGAAAGAGTTTGGAGAATCAAGCTAACTGAAGGTTTTAAGATTTCTTGGCCACTGATGGAATATGAAAGCTCAATGGAATCTTACCCAAATGAAGCTTCCCAACAAGAAAAGAAAAAAATTTGTTTGATTATAAGTTTTGAAATTTTTGAAATTTATTTTTTTAGGGTAAATATTTTATATTTTAAATATTTTTATTTATTTTAATGTGCATTATATTTCATACATTTATGTGTTGTATTTTTTAATATTTTAAATATATTTTTAATATTTTTGTTAAAAAAAATATTTTTTATTTTAAATGTAGAATTTTTATTATAAATATTTTAAAATTATTTTATTTTATGGTTGTGTTAGTCTTTGTTGGTCAATCATAGGCAGTGGCAGTGATGTTAGTCTTGAGCAAAGGATTTTTTCATCTTTTTACAGGCAAAAGCGAGGGTAATATAGTAATTTTTCATAGGATACTACATCGTTTGTACAAAATAGACAGAATGAGAGAATCTTAATATTGTCAAGTAAAATAAGAGAGATTACTGTAATTATTCAAGCCACAGAAGAGGTTTCTGTATTTGTCAAAAATCTCAAAGGAGGTAAATATATTTAACCCTTCTTAATACGAAACTATAACATATTATTAAAATTCAAAATTAGTAATTCGTAGTTATTATTTTCTAATCTTAGGATGTGGAAAAAGCTAAGTTCGCTTTCAACTGAAACGGCCCCATCTTACTAAACAAATTAATTATATAGATAAGCAGGGCCTACCTTATTCATTACCATTATTATTACTGTAGAGTAAGGTGAAATTTTATTATTACGGTAGAGTAAAGCGAAATTGGTAAAAAAGTAATATAATCTTACATTACGTTTATCATATTTTTACATCAAATTTAAATTTAAAACTGGTTTAACATCTCATAAATAACTACACATCTTTTTATAAAAAATAAAAATAAAAATAAAAATACATTTATGTAAATCATTCCAAACAACCACTTAGTGTATCATCGCGTGTGATATAAAAAGAGAGCAAAATTAATTGGTTAGATCAGCAACATGATATAAAACGAGAGCAAAATTAATTGGTTAGATCAGCAACATCATATTCTATGATCTCAAGCCCTCAAAACCTTGTTCTGGCTCCAACAAAAATTACCAATTGCCAGAGACTATATTAACACATACATATAGTTACACATCCAAATTTACATAGTAAGGTTATCCTTCATAGTATCTGTTAAACCTTGCAAATCTGAAAAAGTTGTCTTCTACTAGTGCTGCCCCAGTTTGTCAAGCAAATATTGCGGAATGTACTAGCAATTACGCGGGTTCAGAGTAAACTCCGGGTTTCTACTACCACTATAACCAAGCCGCCACCAATGCAAAGAAGAAAATTAGGTCCTTGAGAAGAATTCATGTGCTTCATAAAACTGCTCCAAGACAACATTGAAGAGCGGGTGGATTGGCTGCAAGAGATTCGAATAAGGACCCAAAATTGCCCTGGGCAAAGGTTGGGAACCAGCCTTCTTTGACCAGCTATACTGACACACTGATAGGCCGCTTAGACAATAGCACGTGTGATAGTAGTCTTTATGTTTCCCAGGTTTGTCTCTGAACCCTCCCTCCACCTACATTGACCACATTAGTAAGAATTCAACTCACGAAAACATAATATAAGCAAGCATTATAGGAGTACCTGAGAGCACAAAATAACATATTGCTGCAAGGCCATGCTGTGAAAAAGAGGTTCTAATTCAGCATGCTCTCTGATAAAATTTAAACCAATATTGAAGAAGTTTACAGGATCGCCAGCATGATGTTTCCCTGCAGGGGACAGTAAGAACATCAAAAGAAAACAAATGATGAATACCCTATTGAGGATTGAGGCATGAAGTCTAAATGAAGAGGAGAAAATAAGAGAGGGGGGGAATTATTATTATTATTAAAAAATTTAAAAAGAAAAGTAAAAACAATTATAGGAGTTATCAATGAAAAATTTTGACCTAGCATGATGAAACAAATAATAGAAAGCATCCTCATTCTTCTAAATCAGCATACCTTCCTCCCTAAAATGGCAAGTCTCGTCAACAGGAGACAAGTTCCCTTCCAAACCCTGTTCTCCATGGCACAAATCAGATGACGCAGAAGTTTCTGTTTCAGTGCTGCAGTCTTCTTCTCCAGCATCCGACAGCACCGATTGTTCATCAACAATCGAATGTAATCTTTGTAACAATGCAGACACTCCTCCCTGGTCCCATTTTCAAGTATTAGTCAATTATTCCAGCAACTGAAATGAAAATTGATTAGATGAGGCAAAAAAACTGCAGTCACCTGCCAAAAGGAGTAGCAACCATCAACCAATTTATTTGTTCGCCCCTGAAATCCACCCTCCACTCCTTGTCTAAATACCACCCAATCCTGGATTTTAAAAAATTATATATCAAATGCCCATCAATCTCCAGGAAATCATGATATCTCATCAAGGACCATGTAAATAGAAGAAATGGTCCACCTCCTAAGAAGTTTGATATATTCTATTTCCAACCCCATGAGAAGGCAAGATCCTGGAAACGACCTTGTCCACGAAAAAACTTTGATATTCTCAATGGGAAGTTATCAATGAGACTGGACAACCTAGTGAAGCATTTAGGAAAAGCAAATGCAAATGACAGTCTGTCAAGGTGAAGACAGGCAGCAAAACAGTACGATAGTTCAATGTGTTACTTTTATTCCTTTTATATTTGAAAAGCATATTATCTCGGTCAATGAAAGCAAATAATATTGTAAAAAAAAAAATACCCTAATTATAGAAAGTACCGGAGAGGAAAAGGGAATCTTTGCTTCTGAAAAACCCATCCAAAAGGAGGGGAAAAATATATTCATCACTTCATCCAATATGTAAGCTCCATCTTTCGTGTATGAGGAAAGATGGGCCATAAAAGTGAAGGAATGCTATTTCCTACAGAAATTTTCCTCGCAAATATGGATTTTCCAGTCCTACTTGTCGACCTCGAACATCTCATCATGAATAGGGGGCCCTTGAATATAGTTTCTTCAACCCTAGCTATTGAGTTTCAATCTCTTCTCACCATAAATGGGGGAGCTAATTTCAAAATACAGGTAAGTGGAGCTTAATTCAACTATATTAATTAGATGCACATGTTGGAATGAAGCTGATTGGCATGGTAATAATTAATGAACAGAAGCTCCAATCAAAGCTGAAGTGACACACTGACTGAGTATAATGTCGAAGAAAAGCAATGGCATATTGAAAGAAATCATCATATTAAAAAAGTAGCTCATACATAATCCCAAGTAAGAAAAGAAGATAATCTTACTATTAAACTAGACAAGTCCAGACGATTAACCTCGTTGATCAGAATCATTGTGGCCAAACCACAAAAAGTGTACCTGATAAAGATACGATCAGATTTGTGAGGGGCTTTCCCTAGATAAATAAGAACAAAAAAACAAATAAACATGTGTGTGCATGCATGAAAAAGAGAACACACAGGATAACCAAGTGAGAACACCACAACCCAACAATTTTTATACAGGAAAAAAAAATAAAAAACAAAAACCAAAGGGATATCCCCCCAAATAGATACAACTTAATTATAGTGTGTGTCAATTATGAAGGAAAACATCTTTGGCATGAAACATACCCACCATGAGCTTCAGAACCCGGTTCACCAGCAATGCCTCCTTCATAGGTCTGACAGCTGCAGTAAAGATCGCAATGAGTACAGCCTTCAATTATTCAAATCAAATTCAACAAGGGAAAAAATTTGAAAAAGACAAAAATAAATATTTATCAAATAATTAATTCATAATGACATTTTCCTTTACGCAGTAGGCAGAATTTACTTGGCAACATCAAGCGCAACTCAAACCAAACCAAACCAAACCAAGCCTTAAGTCCCATCAAATGGGGTTGGCTACATGAATCCTTCTTCTCCACGCGGCCCTATCAAAGGCCATTTCATTAGTTAAATTAAGTAGATTCATATCTCTATTTATAACGCTAGTCAACATTAATCTAGGCCTACCCCGTCCCCTAACACTTCCATCTATCGTTACAGCATCGCATCTCTTCACTACTGCCTCTGTTGGTCTCTGTTGAATATGACCAAACCATCTCAAACGATTCTCTCTCAACTTATCTTCTATCGGTGCTACTCCTACCCATTCCCGAATACACTCATTCCTAATCCTGTCCTGTCTAGTCTTACCACACATCCACCTTAGCATTCTCATCTCAGCCACACTCATCTTATCTACATGTTGTTTCTTGGTTGCCCAACACTCCGTCCCATACAACATAGCTGGTCTAATAGCCGTTCTATAGAACTTACCTTTTAGTCTAGTGGGTATTCGTTTATCGCATAATACCCCAGACGCACTTCTCCACTTACACCACCTTGCCTTAATCCTATAGGCCACATCTGCATCAATCTCTCCCGTTGTTGTGATAATCGACCCTAAATAACGAAAATGTTCACTTTTAGGCAGTTCTTGGTTCTCAATCTTCACTTCTCCTCTGCTTTCATTGTTACTGTTACTAAATTTACACTCCATGTACTCTGTCTTAGTTCTGCTTATCCGAAATCCTTTAGATTCAAAAGCTTTTCTCCAAACCTCCAACTTTGTGTTAACTCCTTCTCTAATCTCATCCACTAACACAATATCGTCTGCAAACAGCATACACCATGGCACGTCATCCTGAATATTTATCGTCAACTCGTCCATAACTAAAGCAAATAGATAAAGACTTAAGGAAGATCCTTGGTGTAACCCTACAATGATAGGAAATTCATTTGTTTCTCCAGCTGGCGATCTAATAGTGGTCACCACCCCTTCATACATGTCCCTAATAACGTCAATGTAGCCTTTTGTCACCCCTTTCTTCTCTAACGCCCACCATATTATATCTCAGGGCACTCTGTCATATGCTTTCTCAAGGTCGTATGAGGAAAGATGGGCCATAAAAGTGAAGGAATGCTATTTCCTACAGAAATTTTCCTCGCAAATATGGATTTTCCAGTCCTAGTTGTCGACCTCGAACATCTCATCATGAATAGGGGGCCCTTGAATATAGTTTCTTCAACCCTAGCTATTGAGTTTCAATCTTTTCTCACCATAAATGAGGGAGCTAATTTCAAAATACAGGTAAGTGGAGCTTAATTCAACTATATTAATTAAATGCACATGTTGGAATGAAGCTGATTGGCATGGTAATAATTAATGAACAGAAGCTCCAATCAAAGCAGAAGTGACACACTAACTGAGTATAATGTCGAAGAAAAGCAATGGCATATTGAAAGAAATCATCATATTAAAAAAGTAGCTCATACATAATCCCAAGTAAGAAAAGAAGATAATCTTACTATTAAACTAGACAAGTCCAGACGATTAACCTCGTTGATCAGAATCATTGTGGCCAAACCACAAAAAGTGTACCTGATAAAGATATGATCAGATTTGTGAGGGGCTTTCCCTAGATAAATAAGAACAAAAAAATAAATAAACATGTGTGTGCATGCATGCAAAAAAATAAATAAACACACAGGGTAACCAAGTGAGAACACCACAACCCAACAATTTTTATACAGGAAAAAAAAATAAAAAACAAAAACCAAAGTGAAATCCCCCCAAATAGATACAACTAAATTATAGTGTGTGTCAATTATGAAGGAAAACATCTTTGGCATGAAACATACCCACCATGAGCTTCAGAACCCGGTTCACCAGCAATGCCTCCTTCATAGGTCTGACAGCTGCAGTAAAGATCCCAATGAGTATACAGCCTTCAATTATTCAAATCAAATTCAACAAGGGAAAAAATTTGAAAAAGACAAAAATAAATATTTATCAAATAATTAAATCATATTGACATTTTCCTTTAGGCAGTAGGCAGAATTTACTTGGCAACATCAAGCGCAACTCAGAATAAGAAAAATAATAGTAGTGAAGAAGGCTCCCAATAGAGGAGGAGGAATGGCCCTCTTGAAGTATAAGAATATCGCTATCGAAACAATAGAGATGGGAGGGTGGAGGTAAGTAGGGTTGAACTATTCATTCATGACAGTTGGTTGCAATAACAAAAGTGAAGAACCTACATTCTCTTTCTTATCGTAGGCCTTCTGTAGGCCTTCTGGAGGACAGTGGTGTTAGAAAAATTAATCAAGATTTACTGTCAAAATAAAAACACCAAACTAATAATAAATCAAAAACAATAAATAAATATTATTATTAGAGAGAAAGATTAGAGAAGCTTGTATGGTGGTCGAGACACGCAGATTGCACTCTCTTTAGGAACGATACACCCTCTTCTGCACCGAGTTGAATGGTGTTCCTTCCCCAAGATACAACGACCTTCGAAATCACTTGAGTGCAGCAAAGTAAATTTCACAAATCTTGAATTGCCCAACACTCACTTGTAAACTCAATACATACAGTAAACTTACAAAGAAAATAACAGAGGAGAAGAAAGACTTCTTTTCTGTTCTGTTTTGAAACAACGTTGAAGTCTTAATATATACATTAGATATTTAGGAGATATTGTAAGATAACCCATAAGACTAGGAAACTAATATAACGTTATAAACTTATTCCTAAAAAGATGCAAACATTAAATAAAATAAATTAAATTAAATTAAATACAATTTTAACATTACAAAATAACAATCCCCTACATAATTTAAAATTGAAAAGAGTGTTTTCACTGCACAATGGTCCAAACTTGAATCTCCACTTAGTGTTAGTAAGCTTCAGTTTAAAGAAACCATAGTACATAAAGTCTTGAACTAGGTCCTTATGATCAAACATAGGCTTACCACACGCACAATACGGGCAATTATCATGGTTCTAGAACGGTTTTGCGCATTAAACGGTCATGCACACATATCTTGCTTCTATAAGTGTCTTTAAGGAGTAACCCAATTTCTCACAACAGTGACCCCACTACTACACTTATATAGTTGTATCCTCTAAGGGTGAATTGTGACCAACACCCTGTAGAAATCCTACCTTGAACACATTCAGAGCTAAGCTCTTCCTAAAACCCGTCGCAATAGTGAGCACTATCACCATAGGAATAGGACCAGGGAATTTCCCTTTAATATTTTTAGTGCTCCTCCAAGTCACCCATCAACTTCGTTAATACCTATTGAACCTTATTCATGGGATCTCCAATCACAAAGGTTAAGTACCCATTGCGATGACAAATTTATGGGTTTCGGTCTCATTCCCCTCGATGATTCAACGACTAGCCTGCGCGCCAATCCTTTGGTAAAAGGGTCTGCTATATTTTTCAAACCTCATAAAATCAAGTGCTATAATACCTTGAGATAATAACTATTTAATAGAATTATGTCTTATTCTAATATGTCTCTTTTTCTCATTTAAATTTGCATTTTTTGCTTTAGCAATTGTAGCTTGATTATCACAACGAATAGAGACAGCAGGTATAAGACTATCAGATAATGGTAAATCAGATAATAAATTCCTTAGCCATTTGGCCTTGATATAAGTCAAATCTAAGGCAATGAGTTCTGCTTCCATGGTAGATCTAGATATAATAGTTCGTTTAGAAGATTTCCAAGCTATTGCAACACCACCTAAAGTAAACACATAACCACTAGTTGTTTTAGTTTCATCAGATTCAGTTATCCAATTAGCATCACTAAATCCTTCTAGCACAACAGAAAACCCACAAAAATAAATTCCATAATTTATTGTACCTTAAGGTATTTAAAAATTCTTTCAATTGCATTCCAATGTTCTAAACTAAGACTAATAGCGTAATGACTCGGTTTACAAACAAAAGAAATATCAGGTCTTGTGCAATTAGAAAGATACATCAAAGATCCTATAATTTGAGCATATTTATGTTGAGAAATACTCTCACTCATACTTTTCTTTAAGCGAATATTAGGATTAAATGGAGTAGCTAAAACTTTCGCATCACAATAATTAAATTTCTCTAGCAATTTGTCAACATAATGTTCTTGTGACAAAACAATTCTTTTATCACTTTTAATTATTTTAATATCCACTATAGCATTAGCTGGACCTAAATCCTGCATATCAAAATTGTTAGATAAAAAATTCTTAGTATCATTAATATCAAATAAATTACTACAAAAAATAAGAATATCATCAACATATAAACAAAGAATAACACAAGCACCATAAATTTTTTTGATATACACACATTTATCACAATCATTGATATTAAACCCATTAGAAAGAATTACTTTATCAAACTTTTCATGCCATTATTTTGAAGCATGTTTTAATCCATAAAGAGACTTACAAGTTTACACACCTTTCTTTCTTGTCCAGGAACTACAAAACCTTCGGGTTGATCCATATAATTTTCTTCATTTAATTCTCCATTTAAAAATGTAGTTTTGACATCCATTTGGTGTATATCTAATTTATAAATTGAGACAATAGCTATTAAGACCCTTATAGTGGTTATACGAGTTACCGGATAATATGTATTAAAGAAATTTATCCCTTCTTTTCGTTTAAACCCCTTGGCTACAAGTCTAGCTTTAAATTTTTCTATGGTTCCATATGTTCTTGATTTTTTCCTGCATATCCATTTACAACCTATTGTATTACAACCTGGTGGAAGATCAATTAAGTACCAAGTATTATTAGTCATAATAGAATCCATTTCCCTATTTATAGCATCTACCGATGTCATAGCTTCATTATATGTTTTAGGATCATTTTCAACTAAATAAGTAAGAAAGTTATTATCAATATTCTTTTCTATTCTTCCTCTTTTACTTCTTAGTTCAGTTCTTACTTAATTTTCTGTACTACTATTAGACATAGAATTTTCACCAATTCATTTAGATAACTTATCTTTCATAGGAAATACATTTTCAAAAAATAAAACTTCTAGACTCTATTATAGAATTTTCAGAATTAATTACTAAGAATCTATAATCAACACTAAGGCATATCCAATAAATACACAATCAACAGTTTTCGGTCCTAGTTTTCTTTTCTTAGTAATTGGTATTAAAACTTTAGCCAAACACCCCCACACTCTGAAATATTTTAAACTAGGATTTTGATTTTCCCAAATTTCATAAGGTATTTTTTCCGAATTTTTGTAAAGCACTTTATTTAATATATGGAAAGCAGAATATAAAACTACACCTCATAAATTATTAGGTAAACCGGAACTACCTAACATAACATTTATCATATCTGGCAATATTTGATTTTTACGTTTTGCTACTCCATTAGATTGTGGTGAATAAGGTGGAGACCATTGGTGAATAATTCCATGTTCACAAAACTCTTCCATTTCTATTGGTGCATACTCACCTCCTCTATCAGAACTTAAGATTTTAATTTTCTTTTCTAATTGATTTTCTACACGAACTCTACATATTTTAAATTTATCAACTAATTCACTTTTGTGACTTATTAAATACACATAGCAATATTTAGAAAAATTATCAATAAATGTAATAAAATATCTTTTTCCACCACAAGTTAACACATTGTTAAGATCACACGTATCACTATGTATAAGTTGTAACAAAGATGTGTCTTTTTCAATAGATTTAAAAGGCTTTTTAGTTTGTTTAGCTTGTACACATACTTGACATCTTTCCTTTAAATTAATTACAGATTTTGGAATTAATTCTAAACTCATAATTCTTTTAATAGTGTTCAAATTTACATGCCCAAGTCTACCATGCCAAGTATTATAACATTCTACATTAGCAATAGAAGAAGCAGAGAAAGAATAACATGCAATTTTATTTAAATTAGAATCCATAACATTAAGACTAAACAAACCATCACAAAGAAAACCTTTACCAACAAAATTACCATTCTTACTTATTACAACTTTATTTGATTCAAAAACAACTTTAAAACCATGTTGAACTAACAAAGATACACTAATTAAATTTTTCCTAATATCAGGAACATGCAAAACTCCACCAAAGGTGATTTTATTGCCTGATATCAATTTCAATTTAACTTATCCTTCACCTAGTAGTACCCTAGCCAAGTTCCCATTTCCCATGCTTACAGTTCTTGTGCCTAATTCCTGACAATAAGGTGAAAAAATATTTTTATCAGCGCACACATGAACATTAGCACCCAAGTCTATAAACCAATCATTTGAGTTAAAAATAATATTTAACTCGGGATCACTAACAAAATACCTGGTAGCAGGGTTAGAAGAGCTGGCCTCCACAGTCACAACATTAGCTTGTGGTTTAGGAGTTATTGGAGGACCACGGGCTTTATGGGGCTGCCTTTTCGATGATAACAATCTTTAGCAGTGTGATTAGTCTTCCCACACACCCAACAATACACTATTTTTCTCTGAATAATATTTTTGCCTTTCAATTTATTATTAAAATTGTTATTCCCATTCTTGTGTGCACCATTTTTCTTGAAATTAAAAAGTTTGGGTTCAAGATTTTCTACATGTGCCTTAGCTCCAAAATCAGAATTTGAAAACTCAGCTTGTTTTTCACGGTACTTTTCCTCAATATTTAGAGATACTAGCAATTCATCAAAGGTATAATCATCGTGTTTTTATTTTAACATTCTACCAAATTTTGACCAAGATGGAGGCAATTATTTAATCAGTGAAGCAATCAAAATCCTTTTCTTTTCAAATCATACAAAATATTTCGAAATCCATGCACTTAAAATCCTATCATGACAAAGATAATTTTTTTCATCAAAATTATCATCATCAGATTTTTTGAATGAAGTTGAATCCTTACCCGTTTCAACAATTTCTACAACCTCAGAAGTTTCACTTTTTCCAAAATTCTGTTCTTTTTAAGAAACCTTTTCTTTTCCTTTTGAACCAGTAGCTTTATGAATCACTTAATAAAGACCCAAAGTTGTTAACCAAGATTTCACCTGTTGTTGCCAACATCTAAAATTTTGACCATTAAACTTCTTAGGCTTATAGGAATTGGCTTCATCAAATCCCCCTTTTTTTTTCAAAATAAAATTATAACCAACACAACTACTTCTAACAGAAAATCCTAATTATCGTTCCTAAGATTGTTAGAAAAATTAAACAGGATTAACTGTCAAAATAAAAACACCAAACTAATAATAAATCAAAAACAACAAATAAATATTATTATTAGAGAAAGATTAGAGAAGCCTGTATGGTAGTCGAGGCACGGAGATTGCGCTCTCCTTAGGAACGATACACCCTCTTTTGCATCGAGTTGAATGGTATTCCTTTCCCAATATACAACGACCTTCGAAATCACTTGTATGCAGCAAAGTGAATTTCACGAACCTTGAATTGCCCAACACTTACTTGTAAACTCAATACAGTAAACTCACAAAGAAAATAACGTAGGAGATGAAGAGGAGAAGAAAGACTTCTTTTCTGTTGTGCTTTGAAACAACGTTGAAGTCTTAATATATACACAATTAAAATAATAATAAATTAGATATTTAGGAGATATTGTACATAACCCAAAAGACTAGGAAACTAATATAACGTTATAAACTTATTCCTAAAAAGATGCAAATATCCAATTAAATAAATTAAATTAAATACAATTTTAAAAGTACAAAATAACAAATGGTCCCAAGGAGTCGCTCCAAAAAAATCTTTATGCAAGTGCCACCAAGTTGTTTTTTAAAATTACAAATGCGTGACAATGCCCTTAAATTCTTAATCATGCAAGAGACATAATATTGTGAGTGTGTATGCATATGCACATGCATTCAATTTTGTACCCATTTCGGCCAGCTTTTCTCTTGTATTCATACATGAATATAATTTCATGCATTTGCGAACATCATACGATTCAAAGATGCACTTAGAAATACCAGTTGATAAATACTAAGGAGCATAGGCAAGTGAACCACTGACAGATATAATGAATAGGGAACAGAAATGTGAATGAGCTCACTCTAGCAGCCAAATGACAGCAAAAGCAGCCAGATACCAACCTTAAGATGTAATTTCCAACATTTTGAACCAGCTCATAATTTAAAATGTTCAAAATACTTGCAACCTGGTGAGAAAAAAAGAAGATTGGAGACATTACTAAAAGATTTGAGAAGCAGTATTCAGCAAAAGAGCAAGAAGAAGATCAACCATTTTAGCACATAGAATCCATGTAAAGCAATTCACAACATTAAACCAGATGACAACTATGTATGCAATTTGGTTTCACAGAGCTCTTATGATGCAAGTAACAAAGGCAAGCACATGATGAAATCAACTGAAACTCATAAATTTGAAGGAATTTTCTTCCACAAATTCATCGAGCACTGCTTAGAATCAGTTCATAAATAGTACCATTTCTTTCTCCTCTTTTGATATGTAAATCTATAAGCATATAACTTATGTGCCTAGTCCATGAACCACCAAAAACAGTCGGAACTTAATACAATTACAAGCAAACAAAAGAAAATTCATGTTCATACCAAGAAGTGAAATTTCGTTTTGTTTCAGTCGAAGTGACTAAAACTTTTCAATTTTGCTGGAAAACAACGAAATAGGAGTTGAAAGTTGAAATTTCAAAGTTTTGATGGAAATGGTGTAGTTTCACATGTTTCAACCGAGGCATCATCGTTTCAATTGAAAATTGATGAGTCCCTCGGATAAAGGCCAAGTTTTTCCAAAAAACACTGATTTTTGCAGAGATACTTCAGCAAAACATCAAATCTGGGGATAAAGCAACACACACACACACACACAGTACATACAACCTGTTTTTCTAAATGGCAAACTTCATACAACCATTAAATGCATTGTCTATACTTTCACTTCACTTTGAATCACTATAATAACTGCGCAAGCATCTAACACATAAATTCAGGTGCCTTTGGAATGGCCATTCTAGAATGAAGTTTTATCAACTGCTATTACATCATGATCCTTTTCATCTTCTCAAGAAGTATTTTAGCTCAATTTCTAACTTCTTAAGAAATCGAGTTCAAGTTGCTTCTCCTTCTAAGCTAATCAGCAAGATGTACTTACAAGGCAGAGAGAGTCATTTGTGGCCTCCACCCTCTTCAATGAACAAAGATTTTTTGGCACTAATCTTTTGAGTTCTAAGAAAGAAACAGCTCAAGAGTATTTGATCATATTGCTCTCTAAGTATTTTCACCCATCTCTCTCTACTTCACCCCTTCTATCCAAACACTCCGCATATATACAAGTAAAGTGAAGGAAAACTTTTTCAATCCCCAAACACAGCTTTAGTTATCAGCAAATTCTCATTGCTCAGAGAATGATGATCACCACTATTAGTAGAATGATGATTAGACAATCAAACGGCTATTTTACTCTTAGATATGTACACATGTAAGGCATACACATGTTCGTGTTCAAACAAAGAGAGGGCAAGAGCACTTCAACTTACAGAAATGGCAGTGTAGCAAGCACGGACATCTACTTCCCCGCCATCATGCATCCTAATGGAAAAGCAAATAATAATATCAGGAAGAGAATACACCTAATGCCCAAAATAATGATCACATATAGTTTATGAGGAAATTCAGAAATAAAAGTTAAATAAAAATAATTTAAGGAGCAAGCAAACAAATTAGAAACAAAAAACATATAAAAATGTAAAAATAAACAAGGGCTCAAGATAGTGTACATTCTTTAGGTAAAATCTAGCATTTTGTTAAGGCCAAACAAATAAGTGATTGCTAGGTGATTCAAACTTCTTAAAAGCCATGTCACATTTAAAACAAAACAATACCATGATAGAAACGAAATCATTTAATTGAATCCTCAATAAGATATCAGCTTAAGATTTGAAGCCATCTGAATAAAGCCATCTGAATAACAAGGTACGGAGACCCCTTCGTTTGACGCCAGCAATTTCTATGCGGCAAATTATGCATACTTACCATGTTCAAAGGCCATAGGCAGGATGCACAAATGACCAGATGCCTCTCCTATCCAATTTTGACTGATGAATCTACTCTCTCTCTCTCAACTTTTTAAATTGAAATAGATAAACCCCACGAACTCTACCTAATGGACACCACTCCCTAATGAACACCACTAGTTGTTGCAACTATGATTACCTCCTCGTGCCTTTTCAGTATTTGGCTATTTGTCTGGACTATGCCAAGTTCAGTTGGGGATAGGTTACATAGTTAGCATGGGAATTGTACAAGCAAAAAATTCAGGAAATTTTTATGGGTAAATTTGGAGGGAACAAGAGGACCTTGAAGGAATCAAGCTTCTTATCCGTAAGTTCAAGATTAGATGCTCAGCTACTTGTTTTTCACTTGCCATGAGTCTTTTTCTACTGATTCTTCTGTAGATATATTGTGGAATATATACACTTAGGCTGTCAGGTACCTTGCTCTTGTATACTTAAGTGTACATTGGTAGAACCCTGTTTTTGGAGCTTTCAGTGAATTTTTGGTATTACAGAAAACAGATTGTGTCAAAGTGATTGATTCATGATGTCCCTCATAAAGAATAGTCCTTTAATTTAAAATACTCAAATGAATATGAAGTCACACCTGAAGCCCCCACTTGCATGTTTCATTCGCAGCAGAAACGAATATAATTTCTCTCTGCAAAATACAACAAAAAATAATCCATGGTAAATCAGCCAAAGGCTCAAATATGTGCCATTACAAAATAGTAAATTGTTCCATGTAGTATAAACTGGCCACCTATTAATCGATGACAAAGATCTCTGACCACCCAAAGTTATAAGTGAATTGACAGCAGCATAAGTTGTTGCAAGATGAGGCAACTAAAAAAATTGCAAACAAGTTATAAGACTTGGAGAAATCACATAAGCAAAGTCTTAACGGTATGTCAAACAAGACTGATCTGCAATGACAATAACTGAAAAAAGGGTTAAAAGAACATGAACTCAAAAAATATTTGCACAACAAAATATAATGACCTCCGAAACAAGACAACTTGATAATAACAAAGCTTTAGGATTCATGACATCAAATGATGAATGAGAAACAAAGTCACAAACGATCTAGGTGACTGTCAGAAAAGACAACAGCAAACTTTCATCAAATTTTATCATTCGTTTCTGACTACCAGTATCGGAGAATAAGAGGGTATACTGAACAAACAAGTTCAACCACGAAAATTTGGGTTGACACTGGTAACAACAGGGGATCTTGCCAAAATGTAGAACATTCACTTGCCTGCCCAGGCCCACCGCCATAGCCACCATCTGGATGCTGCAAGTATAAGAAGATGAAAAAATTAATATCAATAAACTCATAGGAGTTAGTGAGAAAATCAATATCAGTAATCTAGTCATATAATGGCAGGCAAATCATATTTTCATCCCTTTTTTATTGAAATGCATATTTTTCCTTAATTATCTTTGTGTCTTCACACTTGCATTAGTTTCAGTCCTTTAGCTTTACTAAAAGAGGGAGAGGTGTAATTATACTAAAACTATGGGGCTACTTGTATTTTCTCCAAATCTCGTGGGAGGTCCCTATAATTTGCTCCAAAAATAAAAAATAAAAAAGCAAAAATGGGGTTCTTGAGAAATAGAAGCAATGGAAAGCTATTAGACTATGATGAGGGTAGACTCCAACGGTATTATTTTATTAAGATTAATATTCAAAAACCTAAATAAGAAGACTGCAAATGAAAAACATTAAAACTGCAGTTGCTACTTAGAAATACAATATAAAACTAGTCTGAGTGAGATTATATTAAATACTTCAAAACGGAATAACGCACTGAGATGTAGTTGAAAATCCAAACCTGACAACGACTTAGAAATTCAATAGCATTTTCTTCCAATTCATCATCAACAGACTCACCCAATAGAGCAATTGAATGAAGAATCCAATAGCAAATCCAAGGTCGACTACAAATAAGCAGTATTAATCATAATAAGTTGAGGGATGGAACTCGAAAAACAATTATGAAATTCAAAACAGATAAACATTATCCAATCCTCCTCCATTGCCATTTCTGAGCACCAAACAAACCCTTGAGAAATGTTTCATCTGATATATTAAAGTTTTTTTTTTTTTTTTTTTTTTTTTTTTGCATATACTGTTATATTCTAGAGAGAGAGAGAGAGAGAGAGAGGGAAGAAACAAAAGAAGGGAAGAAAAAAAAACGATACTTGGCATCCAAGACGACGAAGAAGGGACCGAGTTGTCTGAGTCCTTTAGTGAGGTACTCGATGTGCTCATCGCGTTTAACTTCCAGCCTTTTTCGCATATCAAATCATCAAAAAAATAATCAATTACACAGTAAGAGAGTTTAATCGATGAAGAATGGTTGAAAGACAAAACCCTAGCGCTGTGTTTGGTTGGGTGATTCGGGTAGGGATTTGGAAAGAGAGAGAGAGCTTACATGACGATCTGGGCATTGGGAGGAAGGCTCGAGAAGAGGTTGTAGTTCTCAAAAACCTTACTCTCAACCATCCATTGCTCTTGCTGAGTTACCGTCGCTCTCGAAGCCGTCGACGATTCCATTTCGATCGCCGATGTGTGTGCTTGTGCCTCTCACGGTTTCACTTGCTTTGCACCCAAATGAGGTGGGTTTTCGGTAACAGTACCGCTCCATCTACCGAATTTGGACGGATTTGTTTCTGAAGAACAAAAATATATATATATATCATAAAATATTTTTTTTATAGTTTTTGGCAAAAATATAAATTAAATTTATTTGAGTAAAAAATTTTTATTCTTTTTAAATATGTAATAAAAATTAATTAATTTTTTAATAATATGCTCTTAAAATATATAAAATACTGTTAAAAATAAAATTTACTAATAATACAGTCACCTCCACTGCCAGTGCCAATTGTACTGCCATTGCGACTAATACCTCCAGCCCGCCACCTCATGGTTGCCATTACCACTGTTGTTAATCACTAATACATTAATTTCCAAACACCACCGAGAAAAATGTTTTATACATAGATGGTGTTTGGGAAGTGAATTTTTATGTAGGTTTTTTTAGATGCAAGATATTATTAAAGAAAATTTTTATTGTGTTTGAGAAGATAGTTGAGTTTTTTTTATGGTTAGATGTGATGTTTGTGAGAAAAAAAGTGAAGTGATTATGAGGTTGAATGTGATATTTTGTTTGGATGTATTTTTTTTTAATTTTGCAAATTTTGTCTTTTAGTGAAAAAAATGAAAAAAAATCCAACTAAAATTCTTTCCAAACACCACCTTAAATGCACTTGGTACACACTGTGAATATATCAATTAAATCTCAGCCCCACATCTTTATAATATTACATCTTCCGCAACATATTTCACGGTTTAGTAGACTTTTTGGCCTTGTTTGGGAAGTGGTTATTTTAATAAGTTATTTTAATTTTTGATTATTTTAGTAGGTTAAAATTTTTGTATTTGGAAAGATGATTGGATTTTTTTGTGGTTGGATGTGATGTTTGTAAGAGAAAAAGTGAAATGATTATGAGTTTGATGTGATATTTTGTCTTATTAGCCCCACATCTTTATAATATTACATCTTCCGCAACATATTTCACGGTTTAGTAGACTTTTTGGCCTTGTTTGGAAAGTGGTTATTTTAATAAGTTATTTTAATTTTTGATTATTTTAGTAGGTTAAAATTTTTGTATTTGGAAAGATGATTGGATTTTTTTGTGGTTGGATGTGATGTTTGTAAGAGAAAAAGTGAAATGATTATGAGTTTGATGTGATATTTTGTCTTATTAGCCCCACATCTTTATAATATTACATCTTCCGCAACATATTTCACGGTTTAGTAGACTTTTTGGCCTTGTTTGGAAAGTGGTTATTTTAATAAGTTATTTTAATTTTTGATTATTTTAGTAGGTTAAAATTTTTGTATTTGGAAAGATGATTGGATTTTTTTGTGGTTGGATGTGATGTTTGTAAGAGAAAAAGTGAAATGATTATGAGTTTGATGTGATATTTTGTCTTATTAGCCCCACATCTTTATAATATTACATCTTCCGCAACATATTTCACGGTTTAGTAGACTTTTTGGCCTTGTTTGGAAAGTGGTTATTTTAATAAGTTATTTTAATTTTTGATTATTTTAGTAGGTTAAAATTTTTGTATTTGGAAAGATGATTGGATTTTTTTGTGGTTGGATGTGATGTTTGTAAGAGAAAAAGTGAAATGATTATGAGTTTGATGTGATATTTTGTCTTATTAGCCCCACATCTTTATAATATTACATCTTCCGCAACATATTTCACGGTTTAGTAGACTTTTTGGCCTTGTTTGGAAAGTGGTTATTTTAATAAGTTATTTTAATTTTTGATTATTTTAGTAGGTTAAAATTTTTGTATTTGGAAAGATGATTGGATTTTTTTGTGGTTGGATGTGATGTTTGTAAGAGAAAAAGTGAAATGATTATGAGTTTGATGTGATATTTTGTCTTATTAGCCCCACATCTTTATAATATTACATCTTCCGCAACATATTTCACGGTTTAGTAGACTTTTTGGCCTTGTTTGGAAAGTGGTTATTTTAATAAGTTATTTTAATTTTTGATTATTTTAGTAGGTTAAAATTTTTGTATTTGGAAAGATGATTGGATTTTTTTGTGGTTGGATGTGATGTTTGTAAGAGAAAAAGTGAAATGATTATGAGTTTGATGTGATATTTTGTCTTATTAGCCCCACATCTTTATAATATTACATCTTCCGCAACATATTTCACGGTTTAGTAGACTTTTTGGCCTTGTTTGGAAAGTGGTTATTTTAATAAGTTATTTTAATTTTTGATTATTT